AACGTTTACTTAATATATATTTTTGTACTTTTATGTGAAATGCCGCTTTCGTAAATCACGTAATTTCTCAAGAGATGGATCTTTTGTCTTGTTGGAGCTTGCATGTGAGCACTGACCAAGCTAGAAAGAGTGTGCAGATAATAGGGTTGCCATGGCGAGGCAGGGGAAAAAGAATGTTCCTTGTTTTTACGGTCAGGCAAGTTTGCAATCTATACTCTAAGTACTTTGTAAAGTCGATGGGAAACCGGGACATTCTTCTCAGGTTGCCATAGGGTCGTGACCACTAAAGTAAAGACATTTTGGTCGTGACAAGTGTGCGACCACCCTGCAAGATCTATAAGCCACTGCAAGGAATGGAAAGACACTGCTGACGTTTCGAGAATTTGCTCTTTAAGTACTTAGCGAAAGGAGAAATGTAAACTTATCAAAACAAATATGTTCTGGTGTGATTTATGGAAAATGTAAGAATCGTTTTTTTGGGGGGGGGAGGAGCGATGGAGGAATGATCGTACACTTAAACCTTCAGGTGTATGTGCCCTTGCTCACATCCATAAATAAAATCCTTTGAATAATACACGCGGTATTGAAGGCATTGTTATTTCAGACTAGAAAGACAAAAGCAAGACTGTTAAACAGCATCTGCTAAAAAAGTGAAGATTAGGAAGAACGGCAACTCCGACAAAATCGGTGATTTTAAAAACCTGTGCAACGACGTGACGGATAAAATTGGGTAAAAAGCACGTTTCAGTCAGTGCTTTGATAACATTTGATACCTGGAAACTGTAGAAAACACAATGCCCAGTGCCTTTTAATAACTTCGCTACGGTTATCTTAGTCCACCGTCAAATGACTACCCCCGGCTTCAAGGAGTCTTCAATACCCACTACAGTAAGACCAACAGGAAGAGGAACATGTAGCTATTGTTCAGGATGATCAATCACTAAAGAAATGTCATCAGGAATGAACGAGGTACTCACTAAAAGTTTACGCCTTTTTAAAAATAAAAATTTGTTTGTTCATGTTACTCAAGGCGAAAGTGCCGACATACATGACGTATTCTCTATTCGCTCTTGCTTAAGCGTTGAAATATCCCTTGAGAAAGACTACCTGACCTTTTGAGTAATTCTGGATGTTGTCTTGTACCTTATACTGTGTTTGAGAACAATGTTACTAGCGTGGATCATCAGCCACTCAGTCTGTTATTATTGTTTGAATGATCTGCATGCGGTCAATGTCAATGTCAATATCAAACGCTTCGGTTAAACAACTTGAAAATAAGAATTGGATGGGAACAAATATCAGTAACTTTAGATGTTTATCAAGGTTTCTTTGCAGTTCTCCCTTTCTGATCACGCTATCGCAGAGCTTTGGACGATCATCTTGTACTTTTCGTACACCGTTTACTTTTTTGTTCATTGTCTTCTTTTTATTAAAGCCCTCACAAAGAAGGTGCATACTCCAAATCGGTGAATATATTAAAAGGTCCGGGTTTGCTGTTAACTTGAAGAGCTGGCTAGAATATTTGCAGGGGAATATAAAGCATATAACTGAATTTCTTTTTTACATTGTTACTTTTCTCATCATTGTAATTATTACGAGTGAATGTCTTTACATGTGGTTCTGTAACGATAGCGTTGGACATTTTGAATAGCTATCAAATAGACGGATCATTGTAGCAACTGAACAAGACTGTGTTTTACTTGGTATCTTTTCTGTCTTCGAAGTATTACATATTTGTTAGTTTTCGGGATTTTAAAAAGTTGTAAAGCATTCTTTCACAAGACAAATATTTCGTAGTTGCAGATATCAGCTGTTCTTTCTTCAAGTGATTTAATTTTAAGTTTCCAGCGTTTACTTTATCATCACAAGCTGAGCTATTCTGGTGCTTTTTATTGTCTGACGGTAAATAATAAAAGAACAAAACACCGGGTTTTTCTGTCTCAATTTAGATTGTATTGTATTCGGTCAGATACCGAGAAACATGCATACCAGCGTCCGCGGTCTTTAAGAAACACCATTCACAAGTCAGTCTGTAGCTCACACACAAAAAAGTTTAAAATTAGAAAAGTCGCTTTGCAGACTATCGAAAGTCAACTCATCAAACCGGCAACAGAACACCAAACCTACAAATTTCCTCGTTCACCTGCAAACGTTTCCAGTTTTCGTCACCAGCCGACTCAAACTTCGTCTTCTGCAGAGAAAGGCTCGATGTTTCTTAAATCATTAGGCTGTTTCCGGTTGTCCTTTTTCTTTTAAAGTCCCTTGTTTATCTCGGTTCTTCACGTTAGCTTTTTCAGCAAGAATGGAACAGTAGACTTGAAGAAGTACTCAGAATATATCAATTAACAGAAGAACCACGCATCGGTAGAAGGAATACAAAACGAAGGTTCGAGTTGCCTCTCCCATAATTTAATTCCCCCTTTTTTTCCAATAGGAAATATGTCATAGATTTATGGCCTATGTGTCGGTTTACCATGGGTATTCTGCAAGAAAACGAACGGTACCTGCGTAAGCGCATTTCATTTACCTTGCTTTTGATATAAAACTACAAGGTTTATGAGGTCTATTGGAATTTTCGTGGACAAAGGTATTCGCAGCTGTCTAAGCTAAGCACGCCGCAACTCAGTGTGAGGTTATTAATATTACCATTCGGTTCTCTTACTTGCGTCCTCGCAAATTAAAACAGGTGTTTAAGAGAACTTGCTTTTGAACAGCGGAAGAGTTAATATCTTCATATGTTTTTAAGCAATAAGAGAAATCCTTGAGTCAGATGCGTTGATTTGTTTCTTTCTCACAGACGTCTGGATGTAACCCTAACCTTTTATAGTACACACATGCACTTTATAAATATTGAACAATGCTTTCCGTTGTAGTGCTTATTGTTTGTTGGTCTATTTTTGCATTTCGAAATTATCCTCTTTTAACTTATTATGATTACCTTTTTGTTGCGTTTCATTATTATTGTTTTTATTACATCCACATGGCAAGCCATGCTGTTAGCCATACGTTTCAGCGTGTGGACTTTTTACGTCAGCAGAGGAATCATTTTTATAGCAGTATTATGTTAAAAAAAGTTGACTTAACTTTGCTCCCAGACTGGTTACTTAAGAAACCTTAAAATATCTGCGCCCCCATGGTTAAAGTATGTAAACTCTGACTAAATAACCCCCATGCCACTTACGTGCTGTAAAGCTCTTTACACTAATTTCAACTTTTCTTCATTTATGCATGCAATTTTTGTCAGTTCTTTTCACAATGTAGAATTCACTCATTTCTCTGGCCTTCTTCTTTCTTTTTTCATTGTGATCTACTACTTGAATTAAGAGGCATAATTACGCGACATTAGCATGATTCACCAACAGTGCCAAGGAAAACCTGCGAAGACTGCTCGTCTCAAATTTTTTTTCTATCAGGTACAAATACTGACTTGTTTGACGCGATTGTGTTTCTGTCGATACGCGTTTTTTATCTATATGATAAAAGCGTATGCTTTCATAGCCAAGTTTATCCATCTTTGTAAAGTTGTGCTTTTAGCGCTCCCTACAAATGGTGTCTCATATGAATTTCGGTCGTAAATCAAGCCATCAGGTCCATTACGTTCTAATATAGAAACGTTCCAGTTGACGCGTATTTAACTGCAAACGTTACTTTCTATGTGTTGCCGGCATGTTCGTGTATAAAATTCAAGCTAAAGTATATTTTATGATAGCACGTTGGATTGACTGTAATCCGAAATATGATTAAAAGGAATTAACTCTGTTTATCTCTGTATATAACCGCGCAGTAAAATCTGGCTGGCATACAAATTCTAGATATATGCAACGTAAGTAGGACAACCTACAAGTGGACAGGATGTGATAAAATATCTCTTTGTATACTTATTCTGGATTAAAACCAATCGAACACACCCATTATCAGTACGGAGACAGTTTTCTCTGGTATGAAGGAAGCTTCTCAGTGAGTCAATACCTTCACCCGAAACTGACCCGACCGACGTTTACCTTTATATTTTCTATAATTTTTGTGTTGTGTACACGAAAGCAGATATTACACGAGTCGCTAACCGGAGCGTACTGATTCTAATAGCCTCAAGATAAAACTCTTCAGTTAACTTTCTTTCCATATTAAAGTTCCCAAGTGAAACTTACTGAATATACCATCAACTTTCTGGCAGTGGGGACTTGCTTTAGTAAACTATAATTGTATAACTCCGCTAACAGTACATTGGGAATAAAGAAATAAGTTAAATGGCTTGGTTGGACTACTTGCTATTTACACAAATTCTTCGGTTGCAAACCTCTTTTAAAAAAAAAGTAGTCAATTGCAGTTGGCCTTGTAGGAGAAGGTTTCGCTATAAAGTATTTTTCAAATAAGCTGGAAAGACTGAAAGTACCAGAAAAAAAATCATCGCCTCAAATGATGTTTGCAATGGCACGAACCATATAAATTTCCACTGCGTAGGTAACCTAAGCCAATTCTCCTGCCACCTCAAGACTCTGGTGACGTTCGACCTCAGGATTCTGGTGACGTTCGAAATGTAGCGTGAAGAAACGAGATTTGTAATTCATTTAGTTTGATCGTGGCTGCTTTTTATTGTTTCCCAATTTTTCCATCGGACTGCTCCTTTTGCGATTACCGCATGTCGAGAAACACTGATATACGTGGTACACGATTAATTTATCTGTGTTTAGATCACCTCTTAGCAAGGTAAGGCAAAGACGGTAAACGTGTTTGACTTGGATCAACAGATATACATGCATACTACAAAGAAACCATCAGTCGTTGCTGATGAAATATCAGCTAACGCAGGACAAATAAAGTATTTCACTTGAATCCTCAACTCCGTAAGTTTTATTGCAGTTTGAAAGGGAGTTGACGTCAAAGGCGTCAACTTGCTCACATAATATTGTATGCTACTCAGATGCTCTTAACTATAATTAATTGATCTGTACTAATGCTCTCAGCTACGTATGTCTGCATGTGTTTCACCATACTAAATATCACTGAGAATAACTATCCGGATGGGCCATCACATGGAAGACCCAATCCTTAAGAAGCTCCACTCTGGCGTAAATCCCATAATAGTTTGGCTCAGCACAGCTCTTGCCCCAGCTAGTATCTCCCACAAGATACCATTTGCCGTTATCCTCGCACACTAGTGGTCCACCTGAGTCTCCCTGGCAAGCATCTATGCCTCCCTCTGGAAACCCTGCGCATAGCATTTCGGGGGTAATCTGGTGTGCTGCATACGAGCCATTCTTGGTACAATTTTGATTCGATACCAAGGGGACCTTGGCCTGCTGAAGTTCGTCTGGTGATGGTCCCCCTGGTTTTAGTGTTCCCCAGCCGGTTATCCAACATTCAGATCCGGGGGGAAAGCTGATATTGTCGTCGGGAAGACATACCAGACCTACACCGTCTTTAATAATGGCAGGTCGGTCCAAGCGAATAAGGGCAATGTCAAAATTGTAACGGGCCAGGCTGTTGTATTCTTGATGGAAATAGATCTTTTTTATTCCAAAGTCTTGCTCAGAGCCAATCAAAAGTGAGGTGTTTTTATAATGCGCACCCATCCTGTGAAAAAGAGAAATAGATCCTATAATCAACATTTGCTTCGAGTCCGGTTACTATATGAAAAGTTAAAATTTCATTATCATATTGTATTTGAAAGTGGCGTTGGAGATACTCCCAAGGGGTCTCTTTGACATCTGAAAGCAATAACTAAGTGGCAGTGGATCGAATCAAAATTTTAACAATGCGTGAAAGTCAGACTTTATTTTCAAGGATTCTCTGTTGAGAAACGTTTTGAAATCTTACTACCTGACCATGTGAGTACCGTAATCTTCTTCTCTGATATCAACTACGCAGTGGGCAGCGGTCAACACCCATTCTAGGGTTACCAGAGATCCTCCGCAAAACTGCTTCCATTCCCCTTTGCTCTTCTGGTACATGAGCATTGCCTGCCACGGCCAAGAGTTTGGAATCGCCACGGTGCCGCCCACAATTCGAGTATGGGGTTTGAATCCACAAGAGTGNAGATCTTTTTTATTCCAAAGTCTTGCTCAGAGCCAATCAAAAGTGAGGTGTTTTTATAATGCGCACCCATCCTGTGAAAAAGAGAAATAGATCCTATAATCAACATTTGCTTCGAGTCCGGTTACTATATGAAAAGTTAAAATTTCATTATCATATTGTATTTGAAAGTGGCGTTGGAGATACTCCCAAGGGGTCTCTTTGACATCTGAAAGCAATAACTAAGTGGCAGTGGATCGAATCAAAATTTTAACAATGCGTGAAAGTCAGACTTTATTTTCAAGGATTCTCTGTTGAGAAACGTTTTGAAATCTTACTACCTGACCATGTGAGTACCGTAATCTTCTTCTCTGATATCAACTACGCAGTGGGCAGCGGTCAACACCCATTCTAGGGTTACCAGAGATCCTCCGCAAAACTGCTTCCATTCCCCTTTGCTCTTCTGGTACATGAGCATTGCCTGCCACGGCCAAGAGTTTGGAATCGCCACGGTGCCGCCCACAATTCGAGTATGGGGTTTGAATCCACAAGAGTGAACAGCTAGATATAGAAAGAAACGTAATCAGGCCATCACATGAGCAGAACCAAGACCAGGTTCATATATATTACTGTTGAGGAAAATCCATTGTTCTTGCTCATTTGCATTAGGTTCGGCGCATGTAAAATGCAACGTTTGAACAAGGCCTTTTTAAGGTTCTTTCGCTGAGTAGCATCAGGTTCAAATCTTCTTTTTAGGATCTCTACTCATGCAAAGGAAGGTTTTATGCTCTTGTGCCACAGTCAAACCTCATTAATACGGACACTGTAGGGGCCATGGGAAGTGTCCGTATTACTGGGGTGTCCATATTAAGCGGTTAAATTTAGAGAAAATATAAGGGGTTTCTTCCCGCAAGGACAAATGAAACTGTCGGTAATAATCAGGTGTCCGTATTAAGCGGGTGTCCGTAAAGCGGGGTTTGACTGTATTAGGATTTCGTTTAAGTCTCCTAGGTTGACTGAGTGATGTATTGTAAAGCGTGTAGCGGTTCATGTAAGATGTAAATGTTTGCTCCCTTTTCTTTAATTAGAAAATTTTCAAAACGTTTAACTTTATGCAGGAAACGTAGAGAATTGAGGTTAATGGATAGGGTGCGTATCGATTGAAACTTCACATGACTGTTACGTTACATCAAGCAAAGACTGAAAAGAACTTTAGTCAGCAATGCAACTTACTTGGGGGAGTGGGGATGGGTGTTGGTTGCGGTGAGCTTGGCTGTGCTGAACTTGGGTTTAACCCACAATTGCTATCCTTGAACACCATTACGTCATCAAGGGCTATATCGCCCATATAGCCCGTGCCAGCCAATCCTTCGAACACCACCTGTGTGTTCAATAACACATTAGTTGGTTGAAGTTTCAAGGTTGCCAGTCATAGGTTATACCGACTTACTATGCGTCCAACCTTATGAATTATTAAAACAAATAAACACAAGATACTCTCAACCTTTATTGTGAAAGAGATAAATTGTGCTATAAATACCATGCTCAGGTATCGAAGTATGTCAAAACCTTTCAACAGATGATCTGGCAGCTTCAGTCCTACCCTTTTATCAGCCATGACAAGTGTCATAAGTAGGTGGGATATCTTCTTTCGAGAATTAGGAGTGTTGTTAACAGTGACTGACGTTTCGACGACTAATGCGGTAGTCATCAAGTTTCTTTGAATCTGAAGATGACTACCGCACAGATTGTCCTATTCAGTAATACTCTTACCTGGAGGATCACTTTTCACCTACTTATGACATGGGCCTCTAGGTTCAAACCATTACCCATAGACCTTATTCCCTTTCCTGGTAATGCTGATCATAAATCTTGGTGGAAACAGAGTCTGAGAGCATGCGTTTGTACAGAGAATACTCCCCTTAAGGTGGCTAAACACTGTTTTGGCAGTTTGTGAGTATGTCATTTGTCAAATCACGGCAAGAGAAAGGTTTCAGCTCACAAGCTGAAACTTGGCAGGTGAAAAATTTACTGATGAAAGCTTATGATTGACAGGTAAAATTTAACGTTTTCGTAGTTTCCATGGCAAGATAAACGATTGAATGCAACCTTAAAATTTCACTTTTGCTCAGCTTACATAAAATTCTCATTACATTTTCCTGTAAACTTGCACACAGCTTACTGTCATTTGAAACTTATTTGACCAATTTTTAACAGACGGGTTTTTAGATAATCAATAATATAATTGTACTGTAATTATTAAATGTGTTACAAAATTCGTCTGCTCAACTTTCATTTTAAAGTTCTCATTATTTAAAATGCGATAAAAGTAGAAATTCTACCAAAGATCACAAAATTTTAATGAGTAGATTTTGAGAGATCTTCTTCTGTGTAACATTGCCTTTTTCACCGCCATGTTTGTTTGTTCAATTTAAGACGCGCTATCGCTGACCGGCTGCAAAACTGTTCAGCCACTTTAATGCAATGATTTGACTGATTTGTCAGTACTTTCTTATTGTTTTTCTTAATACATAGTTGCTTTTCTGGCCTGTTCATTTAAATATCACGATATTCATTCGATTTAGCCAATTCCATGCAAGTGTGGCACGAAACTAATAAAAAATCCCTCCCGCCTCGCTGCTTTTCGCCTTAGTTCTCTCTGCGCCTTCCCTTAACTCAGCGTCTGGAACAGGCTAACCTGCAATCTATTTGTAAATTTCGTCCGCCTTTTTTCGCAGCTTGAAAAAATTGAGAACTCCGTACCATGTGAATCTTTATTGTGCGTTTCCCCCAAAATGCTTTGCACGAGTGAAAAAGACTACTTGAGCAACGCCTTAAAAATGCTCGATTTTCATTTTCGGTATAGATACATCACCTTTATGGTTGAATCTTTGGGTATGTTTAATGAAACAGAACCAAAATGCCAGTCATTTCCCAGCCTCCCTTGCTTGCGCCAAAGAAGAGTTCTAGAACCGCTATGGGTCTGTGAATATACTGAAAGCTGCCGGATATTGTGGCCATGCATGTGAAAGTAGAAACTGAGACAGTTTCCGTCAGCATTGGAGATCTCGGGACTAATTAAGCGCGCAGCTTCTCGGTTTAAGCGCGGGTAAGATGTCTCGATGTACATATACGATCCTGTTTGCAAAAAAGATAAAAAGCCAACTTTTGTTAATATTGAAAAGGTTAAAATTAATTAAAATTTACGAATAACCCGAAGAATATGGTTTATTTTATAAAATTTAGTAGTTTATTAATTTAACATAAGTACTCGAGAGTTAAATGGCAGAGAAAAATGAATCTTGAATCCAGAATCGAAGACTGTCTTGAATTACCTTAATTACATGGTTAGAATCCTATGTATGAACAAACATGTTTCCCTGAAATTCCAGGCATAACGCGTGGATTGGCATATCATTTTGCTTGTATTTCTGAAGCCAGTTTCATTTTGAGCCTTTATATACACTACAAAAAGTGGGCATGTTGATTTACAGTTGACCTGTTCCTGTTGAATGATCTCCCGAGGGTCCAGTGAAGGGGCTATAGGTAGACCCAGTGTTGTTGCTCCATTGAAACTCAGCGTTCGGATCATGCTCATATCCGCACAGACCTCCTTCAAAGTCACAAGTGCCTGACGCTGCAAATAAACACTTCTTTATTTATTTATTTGTTTGTTTGTTTATTTATTTATTTATACGTCTTTAGCAAAGCCTCTGTTGGAGTGATTATATAAATCGATTCCCTGTAGAATATTCCCCGAATCAACGAACTAAACCTACAGATTTCGTTTATTCACAATGCACAAGGGGTAGTGGCTTAAAAATTGTTCACTGGATTAGCACCTAATTATCCTTGTTCCAAAATTGCTTTTTTGGAGTTGACACATCACTGAAGAACAAAATGTCTCTTGTTCTTCCACTTCAGTCCTACTGGATTACTGTTTTGGGACTCCATCGCTTCTTTTATTGGTTGTGCTGTAAACTGGGTCAAAATTTGTCCCCCCAACCAATTCCAAGCGCAAGCTAATCATGGACAATTCTGGTGCGTTGTTTGGATCATCTTTCCCGTTTATGCGGTGGAAGGCACTCTCGCTTAGGGCCTTTGGGGCGTGCTACAAGAAGTTGTTCAATAATGATTTATCAACACGACGCTTAGTGTAAAGCAGGCTCGAAGTCTCACTACCATCCTGGTTAAAACGTTTGGGACACTTAGTCATTTACATATGATCTATGCATTTTTCTACCAATCCGCCTCCCCCTCCTGGACAGTGTTGGGTGTTACGGATCAAAAAGGTTTGAAACATCTTTCAAACTGCATGGACTTCAGCTTTGTTCGGGGGTGGAGGGGGAAACCCAAGCAAAGCTGTATTTACAATTGGAATTGTCGGTCACTCGCAAATCCCCCACCAAAAAGAGGAGGGAAAAGGAAGGTGTTGCAAACCCTTTTGGCCGAATTGTAGATTAAGAGGACAGGAGTTATAGCTTTTAATAATCCACATCAGTTTTAATTTGATTTGATTTAATTACGTTTGCCAATTCTTGACAGGGTCACCGCAACAGCGCTTGGCGCCAATTTCTGCTCCACATCACACTGAAGACTAAGTCCCCCAATCTTAGCGAATACTGTGTGGGTTCTTTAACGTCTCACAGAATTTACAATGTGCAAAGGTTGTGAAACGTGACCTACATTTTATCGTCCTTATCCGAGAAGACCAGAAAGTCTAACCGTTTGCAGATGTTTTTACAAAGGCAGCACTTTTTCTTCAAGTTTTAAAAGGCCCTGAGTATTGTTCAGGCCGGAGATTGAACCAACGGCCTCCTGCTCAGCACACCGGCCCTTATCCAAATGAACTAACCAGGTGGCGGTTTTTGTCATTGTAGATTTTGCGTAGTGATGTAGTGCTTTCCAAGTCCTGACTATTTGACCCCGATTAAATCAAGTTTCATTCGTTTTACTCTTATTAATTCATTCATTGATGAATAATTTATGATTCTATACCATTTGTAGTTATCAGTTCTAACCGGGTAGATTCCAACTCGGGTAGAAATACCACACGGGAAAGGACAAGGCTGTCTCTAGTATTTTGCTATGTTGGGATGTAGTAGTGGTCATAAGCTTGAGTGAGCAATTTCATTTGGGATGGAGAAGGTTCATTACCCTAGGATAGCATGACACAAAGCTCTATCAAGAATTAAGTGTGTTATTGAACTAGAAAGTTTGTGTCCTAGCTTAAGCTCGGCAGCCTGCACACTTAGGACGATTGTTTCCTTGTTTATGGTTGGTAAAAAGCATAGCCTAGAAGGGGGAGTTAAATAAAACTCGTTTGCTAATAACCGCTTTGTGTTTTTATTGACATCATTGTTAAATTAAGAAAAGTCAAATCGTACAGTTGGATGTTACATGTTGCGTCCGTTTGAACACTCTGTTGCATGTTGTTGTGTGCTGTTGCGCAAAGTTTGAAACCGGTCATACTTTTAGCCCCGTGCAAACGGACGTAACATTGTTGGCCAGCAACTCCCAACATTTTTGGAAGTTGTTGCGTCCGTTTGCACGTAGCTTTACTGAAACAATGAAGACGAAAATGCACCCAACATCCAAAGTCAAGATCTTAGGCAAGGTACAACTACTTATTGGCGATAGTTTTTTTTTTGTTTTGTTTTGTTTTTGTTTTTGTTTTTTTTTTATTATTATTTGTTTGATTATTTTTTGCATTGCTGTTTTTGTCATTCTTAAGGAAGTATTAAGAAAATTGAAATAACATAACAAAGAGTGTGTCGATTTTGAAAAGAGGCCTAGTTAACGAAGAAGGAATTTCTGAAAGCTTTGTGCGAGAGTTGTGAATAGAGAAGCTAAATATGATTTTGATTCTTATCGTTTTGCCATATCAGTGAAAAGACAATACATTTGTTCTCTCAAAAATGCCCTGTAAAATACTTTTCTTTTGGGATTTTACTTTGCAATTGTATTTTTACAACCGTTTTCACCGAAAACGTGCAATGATATAATGCATAAGCAACGTAAAGTATAACACTAGTCATCTGACCCCAGTAAGAAATCGCACAGTAAACACGGGCCCTTGCGACTTAAACAGCTGCAAACAAAATCCATAATTTGCCAACAATGAATAATAGAAAACAGTAAAGGTTTGACCTGTATTTTCAGTTTTATTTGTTTTGCTTTTTTAGAAAAATCCCGTTCACATGTCACATAATTGGCTCTTTTTATCCCTCAAAGACCTTAAGATCGCTTCGCTCGCGGCATAATCCCTAACAGGGTTCCTGGATAAACAAAGGCCTAAGATAACCTAACTTTGGAATCAGAAGGCTAAAAACTGAATACTTGTAAGCTATGAGAAACTTAACAGGAAATCAAAAAACTTGCTGATCTTGTTCGAGCGTCACACTTCCAACTAAGATCAACTCTCCGGCAGAGGGAGGGTCTAGTTTATGTGTTTACAATTTGACCGGTCTTTCTAAAAGCATTCTAACTTGAATTAGTACTTATTTTGTGTGTGTGTTTTTGATGTTAAAGCTGGATATTTTTCTCAAGTTTCATAATGACCGTCCCTAAGGGGACACTTTCCACTTGTACATGGTTGTACAAGCACAAAGTTTTTGGTACTGAATGAAAAATCAAATAAGGAAGAAAGAATGAATGAAAGAAAAATTTACCTGCAGTGGCAGTAGAAATAGCTGCGAAGTAAAAAATAAGAAAACCAAAGAGAAGGGAGATTGCCATGACCTCTTCTAAAGATTTATCCAGGGATAACTGAAAAGAGTGCTTTAACGATTACTTTTAGTATTCGGTGTGTTAGCAGCTGTCTTGCGCGCTTGACAGTGAATGATGCCTTTTCATTGTACTCGTGCAGAGAAATAATGCACGGTTTCCACCTGACCAAATCCTTTGACAAAAGGGGAACAATTAATCACACTTTCTTCACTTTTCCAAAATAATAGTTTGGGTGTTTGTTTGGATATGTTGTAAGAAATTTTTTTTTATCTAAGGGCCTGTTTACATGAAGGTGGGGGACCCCAGGTAGGTGAGGTAACATGTGGCGGGTTACCCCACCTAACATGTAAACGTGATCACATTAAAATGAGAGATTGTATGGACGGGCGGGTTACCCCACCTAAGCGGGTTACCTCACCTATCTGGGGTCCCCCACCTCCATGTAAACAGACCCTTAGTTAATTTTTATTTTTCCATTATTTTTGGCTATGTGTGTGTAATAAAAACAGTAATAATGAAAAGTAAAAAAGGCAATAATAATATGTATGCTAATAAATTTGAAAAGAAGGAAAACAAAACTTAACTGAAAAAAAACTACAACAGATACTTGCATTGTCAACTCCTAGGCTTGAGCTCCTAAATATAAAAAATGTAGGGAAAATAAAATCGATGTTTGCCAACATAATTTTATCTTTGATGAACATCATATTTTCCTTGTCTATGAGCATGGTCATGTATAATAATGGTGTTAAGAAGAAGAAACATTTGCAGCCATGGATGACGTTGAACCTTAACGTAATCATTGCGTTATATAGATATGATTAGGGAGACTCACTAATAAGCGTCCTGAGGGCACTTGAAGCAGGCTTCAAAAAGACTGCAAAAAAGCCCGTTTTGTTGTTCAGGTTAAATACGCCAGAGATAATTAGAAAGATCTGGGGTGCGGGTGAGAACGGAGAGTAAGACAGGGAGCAGACACAAAAATACGTGACGTTCTAACAGTAAGGCTTTCTCAACTAGGAAAATAATGAAATAATTTCAGGAAATAATGTTTGGTGACTTTCTCGATAGCAAACAAACCCTTACAGACAAAAATGTATCTCTTATATTGTCACCAAATTGAATTTTTTTTCTAGAGCCGTTAACCCATGATTTTGGCCAGACAAATTTGGAATTTTTTCATCCTTTGTTTTTGGCCGAAAAATGCAAAGAAATAATCTTTGGTGATGTTCCCACTAGAAAACATCCCTTTAAAGACTATAAAAATTTCCATCTTATCTGGTCGAGGAATTGGATTCACTTTAAACATGATTATTGTATTTTATTATTTTTTTTTTATTTATTTTTTTTTTATTATTATTATGCCTATTATATTCGTGCTTTGTTTTTGCATAATGTTTGGTGATGTTCTACATGGAAAATAAGCCTTTCTAGGTGATAAAAATTTTTATTCTACAGTCGTCGATTTAAAAATTGTTTCCAAAGAAGTTAACCTTATCATTTTGGTTAAAAATTTTTTAGCTTCCAATTGAAAGTTTTAGGAAAGTGAGAATTTTATCGTATTTTCGGTTCCGAAAATTTTAGGATTCCTTAATTCTCTACGAAAAATAGCTTAACTTGGGGAGTGAAATGGAAAAAATTAAACTTCAGAAAATCGTAAGGAATTTATTAGATAAGCTTCGAAAATTGTACATGCACGGAACGGTCATCTAGAAATCTTTAGCCTTCCTCAACCTATAGAAAATTCTAGGCAGTTTTTGTTTCTCCGATTTAATTACCTCCGTTCGTCTCAACAAGGCTTAAAGAAATATATTAAACTAATTTATTCAACTTCATTTCTTTGTGCATTATGTTCTACATGGAAAATAAGCCTTTCCAGGTTGTAGAAATTTTTATTCTACAGTCGTCGATTTAAAAATTGTTTCCAAAGAAGTTAACCTTATCATTTTGGTTAAAAATTTGAAATTTTTTCATACTTCTGGGCTAAGAAATTGCATAGAATAAGGTTTGGAGATATTCTCAATAGACACAAGCCTATCTAGCCAAAGACCCTGTTCGCTCTACACAATTTTGTTTCTTTTGCAAAACAATCTGTCACCAGTAAGCCAGTTGTAGGTTTCTCCCACCAAACTTTCTCAACTATCACCAAACTTCCGCTGAAAGATACCGTCGAGAACATTTGGAGAATGGACAAATCCAAGGAAATAATCCTTGATGATGTTTCTGGACTGTAAAACCATGCATGGTATATGTGACCCTCCACAGGATTTTAATGCTAAAGGTGAAAGCACGCGCACGACACGCTTTCACTGTAAAACAAAAGAATTTATTTAAACACGCTTTAGCACGCTTGCAATCTTGCCTCATTAGCAATTTCTTTTGTTTCAGAGGACACGCTTGAGACAATTAAGCGTGAGCAAGTCGAACAAAAGAGCGTGTTAAAGTTTTCAAACAAAAGCTCCGTGCGAAAAAGCACAACATGCTTTCAGTGTGCGCAAAAGCACGCAAGGTGTGTTATCTATAAGCTAAATAAATTTCCTCTACAAAAAGGAACCCTAAGTGATTATGAACGGCACCCTTTTTTGGTAACTATCGAGAAAGAAAAAGACATACCTCAGCGATCGAAGCGATAGTATCTGATTGAAAAAACGTTGTCGCTTGAAAAGTATAAACAGTGAACGGTGGGACCTACTGGATTTATGGGTAGAACTATATTAGCATTGCAAAATCAAAGTTCTTTGCAGAAATGTTTACTAACGAAGCTGTGCAAGGGTTATCTTAACTTCCCTTAATTTAAAACACATTTGCAATTTTCTCAGAAACAGTGGTCTTTCGGACTTAAGTCACTTTCTTGCCGATCGCAGCAATCGCGATCAAATAGAAATCATCAATCATCACTCATTTCTCTGGCCTTCTTCGTTCTTTTTTCATTGTGATCTGCTACTTGAATTAAGAGGCATAATTACGCGATATTAGCATGATTCACCAACATTACCAGGGAAAACCTTCGAAGACTGCTCGTCTCAAATTTTTTTTCTATCAGGTACAAATACTGACTTGTTTGACGCGATTGTGTTTCTGTCGATACGCGTTTTTTATCTATATGATAAAAGCGTATGCTTTCATAGCCAAGTTTATCTATCTTTGTTTAGTTGTGCTTTTAGCGCTCCCTACAAATGGTGTCTCATATGAATTTCGGTCGTAAATCAAGCCATCGCGTCCATTACGTTCCAATATAGAAACGTTCCAGTTGACGCGTTTTTAACTTGAAACGTTACTTTCTTTGTGTTGCCGGCATGTTCGCGTATAAAATTCAAGCTAAAGTATATTTTATGATAGCACGTTGGATTGACCGTAATCCGAAATATGATTAAAAGGTATTAACTCTGTTTATCTCTGTATATAACCGCGCAGTAAAATCTGGCAGGCATACAAATTCTAGATATATGCAACGTAAGTAGGCCAACGTACAAGTGGACAGGATTTGATGAAATATCTCTTTGTATTCTTATTCTGGATTAAAACCAATCGAACACACTCATTATCAGTACGGAGACAGTTTTCTCTGGTATGAAGGGACTTTCTCAGTGAGTCAATACCTTCACCCGAAACTGACCCGACCGACGTTTACCTTTACTATATTTTCTATAACTTTTGTGTTGTGTACACGAAAGCAGATATTACACGAGTCGCTAACCGGAGCGTACTGATTCTAATAGCCTCAAGATAAAACTCTTCAGTTAACCTTCTTTCCATATTAAAGTCCCCAAGTGAAACTTACTGAACATACCATCAACTCTCTGGCAGTGCGGACTTGCTTTAGTAAACTATAATTGTATAATTCCGCTAACAGCACATTGGGAATAAAGAAATAAGTTATATGGCTTGGTTGGACTACTTTCTATTTACACAAATCGTTCGGTTGCAAACCTCGTAAAAAAAAGTAGTCAATTGCAGTTGGCCTTGTAGGAGAAGGATTCGCTATAAAGTATTTTCAAATAAACTGGAAAGACTGAAAGTACAAGAAAAAAATTCATCGCCTCAAATGATGTTTGCAATGGCACGAACCATATAAATTTCCATTTGGTGGGTAACCTAAGCCAATTCTCCTGTCACCTCATGATCCTGATGACGTTCGACCTCAAGATTCTGGTGACGTTCGAAATATAGCGTGAAGAAACGAGATTTGTAATTCATTTAGTTTGATCATGGCTGGTTTTAATTGTTTCCCAATTTTTCCATCGAACCGCTCCTTTTGCGATTACCGCATGTCAAGAAAAACTGACATTCATGGCACACGATTAATTTATCGCTGTGTTTAGATCACCTCTTAGCAAGGGAGTAAAGAAATAAGTTAAATGGCTTGGTTGGAGTACTTGCTATTTACATAAATCGCTCGGTTGCAAACGTCGTAAAAAAAAGTAGTCAATTGCAGTTGGCCTTTAAGGAGAAGGATTCGCTATAAAGTATTTTTCAAATAAGCTGGAAAGACTGAAAGTACAAGAAAAAAATTCATCGCCTCAAATGATGTTTGCAATGGCACGAACCATATAAATTTCCATTTGGTGGGTAACCTAAACCAATTCTCCTGTCACCTCAAGATTCTGGTGACGTTCGAAATGTAGCGTGAAGAAACGAGATTTGTAATTCAGTTAGTTTCATCATGGCTGGTTTTTATTGTTTCCCAATTTTTCTATCGGACTGCTCCTTTTGCGATTACCGCATATCGAGAAACACTGACATACGTGGTACACGATTAATTTATCTGTATTTAGATCACCTCTTAGCAAGGTAAGGCAAAAAAGGTAAACGTGTTTGACTTGGATCAACAGATATATGTATGTATACTACAAAGAAACCATCAGTCGTTGCTGATGAAATATCAGCTAACGCGGGACAAATAAAGTATTTCACTTAAATCTCCAACTTCGTAAGTTTTATTGCAGTTTGAAAGGGAGTTGACGTCAAAGGCGTCACCTTGCTCACATAATATTGTATGCTACTGAGATGTCCTTAACTATAATTAAATGATCTGTACTGATGCTCTCAGCTACGTATGTCTTGGCATGTGTTTCACCATACTAAATATCACTGAGAATAACTATCCGGATGGGCCATCACATGGAAGACCCAATCCTTAAGAAGCGCCACTCTGGCGTAAATCCCATAATAGTTTGGCTCAGCACAGCTCTTGCCCCAGCTAGTATCTCCCACAAGATACCATTTGCCGTTATCCTCGCACACTAGTGGTCCACCTGAGTCACCCTGGCAAGCATCTATACCTCCCTCTGGAAACCCTGCGCATAGCATCTCGCGGGTAATCTGGTGCGCTGGATACGAGCCATTCTTGGTACAATTTTGATTCGATACCAAAGGGACCTTGGCCTGCTGGAGTTCGTCTGGTGATGGTCCCCCTGGTTTTAGTGTTCCCCAGCCGGTTATCCAACATTCAGATCCGGGGGGAAAGCTAATATTGTCGTCAGGAAGACATACCAGACCTACACCGTCTTGAATAATGGCAGGTCGGTCCAAGCGAATAAGGGCAATGTCAAAATTGTAACGGGCCAAGCTGTTGTATTCTTGATGGAAATAGATCTTTTTTATTCCAAAGTCTTGCTCAGAGCCAGTCAAAAGTGAGGTATTTTTATAATGCGCACCCATCCTGTGAAAAAGAGAAATAGATCCTATAATCAACATTTGCTTCAAGTCCGGTTACTATATGAAAAGTTAAAATTCTATTATGATATTGTATTTGAAAGTGGCGTTGGAGATACTCCCAAGAGTTCTCTTTGACATCTGAAAGCAATAACTAAGTGGCAGTGGATCGATTCAAAATTTTAACAATGCGTGAAAGTCAGACTTTATTTTCAAGGATTCTCAGTTAAGAAACGTTTTGAAATCTTACTACCTGACCATGTGAGTACCGTAATCTTCTTCTCTGATATCGACTACGCAGTGGGCAGCGGTCAACACCCATTCAAGGGTTACGAGGGATCCTCCGCAAAACTGCTTCCATTCCCCTTTGCTCTTCTGGTACATGAGCATTGCCTGCCACGGCCAAGAGTTTGGAATCGCCACGGTGCCGCCCACAATTCGAGTATGGGGTTTGAATCCACAAGAGTGNCTTCAAGTCCGGTTACTATATGAAAAGTTAAAATTCTATTATGATATTGTATTTGAAAGTGGCGTTGGAGATACTCCCAAGAGTTCTCTTTGACATCTGAAAGCAATAACTAAGTGGCAGTGGATCGATTCAAAATTTTAACAATGCGTGAAAGTCAGACTTTATTTTCAAGGATTCTCAGTTAAGAAACGTTTTGAAATCTTACTACCTGACCATGTGAGTACCGTAATCTTCTTCTCTGATATCGACTACGCAGTGGGCAGCGGTCAACACCCATTCAAGGGTTACGAGGGATCCTCCGCAAAACTGCTTCCATTCCCCTTTGCTCTTCTGGTACATGAGCATTGCCTGCCACGGCCAAGAGTTTGGAATCGCCACGGTGCCGCCCACAATTCGAGTATGGGGTTTGAATCCACAAGAGTGAACAGCTTGATATAGAAAGAAACGTAATCAGGTCATCACATGAGCAGAACTAAGATCCGGTTCAAACATATTGCTGTCAGGAAAATCTATTGTTGTTGCTCATTTGCATTAGATTCGGCGCATGCGAAATGCGACGTTTAAACAAGGCCCTTTTAAGGTTCTTTCGCTGAGTAGCATCAGGTTCAAATCTTTTTTCTAAGATCTCTACTCATGCAAAGGACGGTTTTGCGCTCTTCCACAGTCAAACCTTATTAATACGGACACTGTAGGGGCCATGGAAAGTGTCCGTATTAACGAGGTGTCCATATTAAGCGGGTTAAATGTAGGGAAAATGTACGGGCTTTCTTTCCTCAAGGACAAATGAAACTGTCTGTAATAATCAGGTGTCCGTATTAAGCGGGTGTTCGTAAAGCGGGGTTTGACTAGTACTTTAGCTGGGTTTCGTTTAAGTCTCCTAGGTTGACTGAGTTATGTATTGTAAGGCGAGTAGCGGTTCGTGTAAGGTATTAATTAGAAATTTTTCAAAACGTTTAACTTTATCCAGGAAACGTAGCGAATTGAAGTTAATGGATTGGGTGCCTATCGATTGAAACTTCACGTGACTGTTACGTTATATCGAGCAGACTGAAAAGAATTTAAGTCAGCATCGCAACTTACTTGGGGGCGTGGGGATGGGTGTTGGTTGTGGTGAGCTTGGCTGTGCTGAACTTGGGTTTAACCCACAATTGCTATCCTTGAACACCATTACGTCATCAAGGGCTATATCGCCCATATAGCTCGTGCCAGCCAATCCCTCGAACACGACCTGTTTGTTCAACAACACATTAGTTGGTTGAAGTTTCAAGGTTGCCAGTCATAGGTTATACCGACTTACTATGCGTCCAACCTTATGAATTATTAAAGGTTTCTCTCATTTTTAATTTGTTCTTAACTTAGTTCCCGATGCTTAAAAGGTTATCAGGATCGCTTTATTTTGATCATTATCATGATCATTATTATTATTATTATTATTATTATTATTATTATTATTATTATTATTATTATTATTATTATTATTATTATTATTATTCCATTCCTTTTATATTTTTTTGTTGCCCATTATTAAATTTTTGTGGCTTAACCAAAGCCAAGGAACTCTCGATATTCAAATGAACACAAGATACTCTCAACCTTTATTGTGAAAGAGATAAATTGTGCTATAAATACCATGCTCAGGTATCGAAGTATGTCAAAACCTTTCAATTGATGATCTGGCAGCTTCAGTCCTACCCTTTTAATCAGCCATGACAAGTGTCATAAGTAGGTGGGATATCTTCTTTCGAGAATTAGGAGTGTTGTTAACAGTGACTGAATCTGAAGATGACTACCGCACAGATTGTCCTATTCAGTAATACTCTTGCCTGGAGGATCACTTTTCACCTACTTATGACATGGGCCTCTAGGTTCAAACCATTACCCATAGACCTTATTCCTTTTCCTGGTAATGCTTATCATAAATCACAAGATAGAAATCTTGGTGGTAACAGAGTCTCAGAGCATGCGTTTGTACAGAGAATACTCCCCTTTAAGGTGGCTAAACACTGTTTTGGCAGTTTCTGAGTATATGTCATTTGCCAAATCACGGCAAGAGAAAGGTTTCAGCTTACAAGCTGAAACTTGGCAGGTGAAAAATTTACTGATGAAAGCTTATGGTTGACAGGTAAAATTTGACGTTTTCGTAGTTTCCATGGCAAGATAAACGATTGAATGCAACCTTAAAGTTTCACTTTTGCTTAGCTTACATAAAATTCTTTCATTAGATTTTCCTGTAAACTTGCACACAGCTTACTGTCACTTGAAACTTATTTGACCAAATTTTAACAGACGGGTTTTTAGATAATCAATAATATAATTGTACTGTTATTATTAAATGTGTTACAAAATTCGTCTGCTCAACTTTCATTTTAAAGTTCTCATTATTTAAAATGCGATAAAAGTAGAAATTCTACCAAAGATCACAAAATTTTAATGAGTAGATTTTGAGAGATCTTCTTCTGTGTAACATTGCCTTTTTCACCGCCATGTTTGTTTGTTTAATTTAAGACACGTGCTTGCGTTGACCGCCTGCAAAACTGTTCAGCCACCTTAATGCAATGATTTGACTGATTTGTCAGTACTTTCTTATTGTTTTTCTTAATACATAGTTGCTTTTCTGGCCTGTTCATTTAAATATCACCATATTCACTCGACTTTGCCAATTCCATGCAAGTGTGGCACAAAACTAATAAAAAATCCACCCCGCCTCGCTGCTTTTCGCCTCTTTTCTCTCTGCGCCGTCCCCTAACTCAGCGTCTGGAACAGGCTAACCTGCAATCTATTTGTAAATTTTGTCCGCCTTTTTTCGCAGCTTGAAAAAATCGAGAACTCCGTACCATGTGAATCTTTATTGTGCGTTTCCCCCAAAATGCCGCGCACGAGTGAAATAGACTACTTGAGCAACGCTTTAAAAATGCTCGACTTTCATTTTCGGTATAGATACATCACCTTTATGGTTGAATCTTTGGGTATGTTTAATGAAACAGAACCAAAATGCCAGTCATTTCCCAGCCTCCCTTGCTTGCGCCAGAGAAGAGTTCTAGAACCGCTATGGGTCTGTGAATATACTGAAAGCTGCCGGATATTGTGGCCATGCATGTGAAAGTAGAAACTGAGACAGTTTCCGTCAGCATTGGAGATCTCGGGACTAATTAAGCGCGCAGCTTCTCGGTTTAAACGCGGGTAAGATGTCTCGATGTACATATACGATCCTGATTGCAAAAAAAGATAAAAAGCCAACTTTTGTTAATATTGAAAAGGTTAAAATTAATTAAAATTAACGAATAACCCGAAGAATATGGTTTATTTTATAAAATTTAGTAGTTTATTAATTTAACATAAGTACTCGAGAGTTAAATGGCAGAGAAAAAACTTCACAAAACGTAAACTCCATGAAATTTACTGGATTCGTCACGCATTCGGGAAGGTCTTCTTTGGTGCAAAAAGGCTGTGCTTGTTATGTATATGTTCTATATTTAAGGGAATCCGGAATCCAAGTTTTACTGACAATGAATCTTGAATCCAGAATCGAAGACTGTCTTGAATTACCTTAATTACATGGTTAGAATCCTATGTATGAACAAACATGTTTCCCTGAAATTCCAGGCATAACGCGTGGATTGGCACATCATTTTGCCTGTATTTCTGAAGCCAGTTTCATTTTGAGCTTTTATATACACTAGAAAAAGTGGGCATGTTGATTACAGTTGACCTGTTCCTGTTGAATGATCTCCCGAGGGTCCAGTGAACGGGCTATAGGTAGACCCAGTGTTGTTGCTCCATTGAAACTCAGCGTTCGGATCATGCTCATATCCGCACAGACCTCCTTCAAAGTCACAAGTGCCTGACGCTGCAAATAAACACTTATTTATTTATTTGTTTGTTTGTTTATTTATTTATTTATACGTCTTTAGCAAAGCTTCTGTTGGAGTGATTATATAAATCGATTCTCTGTAGAATATTCCCCGAATCAACGAACTAAACTTACAGATTTCGTCTATTCACAATGCACAAGGGGTAGTGGCTTAAAAATTGTTCACTGGATTAGCACCTAATTATCCTTGTTCCAAAATTGCTTTTTTGGAGTTGACACATCACTGAAGAACAAAATGTCTCTTGTTCTTCCACTTCAGTCTTACTGGATTACTGTTTTGGGACTCCATCGCTTCTTTTATTGGTTGTGCTGTAAACTGGGTCAAAATTTGTCCCCCAAACCAATTCCAAGCGCAAGCTAATCATGGACAATTCTGGTGCGTTGTTTGGATCATCTTTCCCGTTTATGCGGTAGAAGGCACTCTCGCTTAGGGCCTTTGGGGTGTGCTACAAGTAGTTCTTCAATAATGATTTATCAACACGATGCTTAGTGTAAAGCAGGCTCGAAGTCTCACTACCATCCTGGTTAAAACGTTTGGGACGCTTGGTCATTTACATATGATCTATGCATTTTTCTTCCAATCCGCCTCCCCCTCCTGGACAGTGTTGGGTGTTACGGGTCAAAAAGGTTTGAAAAATCTTTCAAAATGCATGGACTTCAGCTTTGTTCGGGGGTGGAGGGGGAAACCCAAGCAAAGCCGTATTTACAATTGGAATTGTCGGTCACTCGCAAATTCCCCACCAAAAAGAGGAGGGAAAAGGAAGGTGTTGCAAACCCATTGGGCCGAATTGTAGATTAAGAGGACAGGAGTTATAGCTTTTAATAATCCATATCAGTTTTAATTTAATTTGATTTAATTACGTTTGCCAATTCTTGACAGGGTCACCGCAACAGCGCTTGGCGCCAATTTCTGCTCACACTGGGGACTAAGTCCCCCAATCTTAGCGAATACTGTGTGGGTTCTTTAACGTCCCACAGAATATATAATGTGCAAAGGTTGTGAAACGTGACCTACGATTTATCGTCCTTATCCGAGAAGACTAGAAAGTCTAACCGTTTGCAGATGTGTTTACAAAGGCAGCACTTTTTCTTCAAGTTTTAAAAGGCCCTGAGTATTGTTTAGGCCGGTGTTTGAACCAGCGGCCTCCTTCTCAGCACACCGGCCCTTATCCAAATGAACTAACCAGGTGGCGGTTTTTGTCATTGTAGATTTTGCGTAGTGATGTAGTGCTTTCCAAGTCCTGACTATTTGACCCCGATTAAATCAAGTTTCATTCGTTTTACTCTTATTAATTCATTCATTGATGAATAATTTATGATTCTATACCATTTGTAGTTATCAGTTCTAACCGGGTAGATTCCAACTCGGGTAGAAATACCACACGGGAAAGGACAAGGCTGTCTCTAGTATTTTGCTATGTTGGGATGTAGTAGTGGTCATAAGCTTGAGTGAGCAATTTCATTTGGGATGGAGAAGGTTCATTACCCTAGGATAGCATGACACAAAGCTCTATCAAGAATTAAGTGTGTTATTGAACTAGAAAGTTTGTGTCCTAGCTTAAGCTCGGCAGCCTGCACACTTAGGACGATTGTTTCCTTGTTTATGGTTGGTAAAAAGCATAGCCTAGAAGGGGGAGTTAAATAAAACTCGTTTGCTAATAACCGCTTTGTGTTTTTATTGACATCATTGTTAAATTAAGAAAAGTCAAATCGTACAGTTGGATGTTACATGTTGCGTCCGTTTGAACACTCTGTTGCATGTTGTTGTGTGCTGTTGCGCAAAGTTTGAAACCGGTCATACTTTTAGCCCCGTGCAAACGGACGTAACATTGTTGGCCAGCAACTCCCAACATTTTTGGAAGTTGTTGCGTCCGTTTGCACGTAGCTTTACTGAAACAATGAAGACGAAAATGCACCCAACATCCAAAGTCAAGATCTTAGGCAAGGTACAACTACTTATTGGCGATGGTTTTTTTATTATTATTATTATTATTATTATTTGTTTGATTATTTTTGCATTGCTGTTTTTGTCATTCTTAAGGAAGTATTAAGAAAATTGAAATAACATAACAAAGAGTGTGTTGATCTTGAAAAGAGGCCTAGTTAACGAAGAAGGATTTCTGAAAGCTTTGTGCGAGAGTTGTGAATAGAGAAGCTAAATATGATTTTGATTCTTATCGTTTTGCCATATCAGTGAAAAGACAATACATTTGTTCTCTCAAAAATGCCCTGTAAAATACTTTTCTTTTGGGATTTTACTTTGCAATTGTATTTTTACAACCGTTTTCACCGAAAACGTGCAATGATATAGTGCATAAGCAACGTAAAGTATAACACTCATCTGACCCCAGTAAGAAATCGCACAGTAAACACGGGCCCTTGCGACTTAAACAGCTGCAAACAAAATCCATAATTTGCCAACAATGAATAATAGAAAATGGTAAAGGTTTGACCTGTATTTTCAGTTTTATTTGTTTTGCTTTTTCAGAAAAATCCCGTTCACATTTCGCATAATTGGCTCTTTTTATCCCTCAAAGACCCTAAGATCGCTTCGCTCGCGGCATAATCCCCAACAGGGTTCCTGGATACACAAAGGCCTAAGATAACCTAACTTTGGAATCAGAAGGCTAAAAACTGAATACTTGTAAGCTATGAGAAACGTAACAGGAAATCAAAAAGCTTGCTGACCTTGTTCGAGCGTCACACTTCCAACAAAGATCAACTCTCCGGCAGAGGGAGGGTCTAGTTTATGTGTTTACAATTTGACCGGTCTTTCTAAAAGCATTCTAACCTGAATTAGTACTTATTTTGTGTGTGTGTTTTTGATATTAAAGCTGGATATTTTTCTTAAGTTTCATAATGACCGTCCCTAAGGGGACACTTTCCACTTGTACATGGTTGTACAAGGACAAAGTTTTTGGTACTTAATGAAAAATCAAATAAGGAAGAAAGAATGAATGAAAGAAAAATTTACCTGCAGTGGCAGTAGAAATAGCTGCGAAGTAAAAAATAAGAAAACCAAAGAGAAGGGAGATTGCCATGACCTCTTCTAAAGATTTATCCAGGGATAACTGAAAAGAGTGCTTTAACGATTACTTTTAGTATTCGGTGTGTTAGCAGCTGTCTTACGCGCTTGACAGTGCACTTGAATGATGCCTTTTCATTGTACTCGTACAGAGAAATAATGCACGGTTTCCACCTGATCAAATCCTTTGACAAAAGGGGAACAATTAACCACACTTTCTTCACTTTGCCAAAATAATAGTTTGGGTGTTTGTTTGGATATGTTGTAAGAAATTTTTTTTTATCTAAGGGCCTGTTTACATGAAGGTGGGGGACCCCAGGTAGGTGAGGTAACATGTGGCGGGTTACCCCACCTAACATGTAAACGTGATCACATTAAAATGAGAGATTGTATGGACAGGCGGGTTACCCCACCTAAGCGGGTTACCTCACCTACCTGGGGTCCCCCACCTCCATGTAAACAGGCCCTTAGTTAATTTTTATTTTTCCATTATTTTTGGCTATGTGTGTGTAATAAAAACAGTAATAATGAAAAGTAAAAAAGGTAATAATAATATGTATGCTAATAAATTTGAAAAGAAGGAAAACAAAACTTAACTGAAAAAAAACTACAACAGATACTTGCATTGTCAACTCCTAGGCTTGAGCTCCTAAATATAAAAAATGTATGGAAACTAAAATCGATGTTTGCCAACATAATATAATCCTTGGTGAACATCATATTTTCCTTGTCTAGGAGCATGGTCATGTATAATAATGGTGTTAAGAAGAAGAAACATTTGCAGCCAAGGATGACATTGGACCTTAACGTAATCATTGCGTTATATAGATATGATATAGGGAGACTCACTAATAAGCGTCCTGAAGGCACTTGAAGCAGGCTTCAAAAAGACTGCAAAAAAGCCCGTATTGTTGTCCAGGTTAAATACGCCAGAGACAATTAGAAAGATCTGGGGTGCGGGTGAGAACGGAGTATAAGACAGGGAGCAGACACGAAAATACGTGATGTTCTAACAGTAAGGCTTTCTCAACTAGGAAAATAATGAAATAATGTCAGGAAATAATGTTTGGTGACTTTCTCGATATCAAACAAACCCTTACAGACAAAAATGTATCTCTTATATTGTCACCAAACTGAATTTTTTTCTAGAGCCGTTAACCCATGATTTTGGCCAGACAAATTTGGAATTTTTTCATCCTTTGTTTTTGGCCTAAAAATGCAAAGAAATAATCTTTGGTGATGTTCCCACTAAAAAACATCCCTTTAAAGACTATAAAAATTTCCATCTTATCTGGTCGAGGAATTGGATTCACTTTATCCATGATTATTGTATTTTATTTTTTATTTTTTATTTATTTATTTATTTTTATTATTATGCCTATTATATTCGTGCTTTGTTTTTGCATAATGTTTGGTGATGTCCTACATGGAAAATAAGCCTTTCCAGGTTATAAAAATTTTTATTCTAGAGTCGTCGATTTAAAAATTGTTTCCAAAGAAGTTAACCTTATCATTTTGGTAAAAAAATTTGAAATTTTTTCATACTTCTGGGCTAAGAAATTGCATAGAATAAGGTTTAGAGATATTCTCAATAGACACAAGCCTATCTAGCCAAAGACCCTGATCGCTCTTCACAATTTTGTTTCTTTTGCAAAACAATCTGTCACCAGTAAGCCATTTCTAGTTTTCTCCCACCAAACTTTCTCAACTATCACCAAACTTCCGCTGAAAGATACCGTCGAGAACATTTGGAGAATGGACAANAAAAAATGTATGGAAACTAAAATCGATGTTTGCCAACATAATATAATCCTTGGTGAACATCATATTTTCCTTGTCTAGGAGCATGGTCATGTATAATAATGGTGTTAAGAAGAAGAAACATTTGCAGCCAAGGATGACATTGGACCTTAACGTAATCATTGCGTTATATAGATATGATATAGGGAGACTCA